TGGTGTACGTACACCTGGTGTACGTACACCAGCTGTACGTACACCCCAGAATAGGAATTTTTGTCTTTTTTCGACCACTTTGCATCGCCAAATAAGCTTTTTTATCGGTGCGTTCATATTATCACTGCTGAGTGCGTACATGCCCTCGAACGCTGCGTACTCTTCAGTTTTCAACACGTTTGTACGCAGAAGAATCATTAGAATGATTGTGACGGCGGTTACTGCATCTCCGCATTTGACGGCCCTCCAGCTTTCTTTTCAAAGACATTTACAGTTCATTGTTGCAAACAAAGCAAAATAAAAATACGAATGAAATATAAATGCATCTTTTTGAATTAGTGTGGACATACAGGGATCTCCTTCAGTGTGCACAAAGAAACAAAATTGTAGACTTCAAGCATTGACAAATAGAAATTTAATATTAACACAATTAATATAATAAAAAGATGAGTAAAAATAAAAATAATTACAAATTCAGTGCGCACTTGCATGCATGCATGCATATGGGCTTTAACTATAAATAAATATATAAAGATAAATGATAGAAGATATACAGTTTTAAATGCATTGTATGTCCAAAGAGGTGAGGGACAAAAATATATATAATGTATAGACACACAAGAAAAATATAAATATGAATAATCAAGTATGCATGCATCTATGTATCTTTAGATTTGTAAAGAAACGCCTCTCCGAATAAATAAATAAATAAACTACAGTTGCATATTGAATAAAATAAATCTGCTTTTATTTCGCAAAAATCTCATCTGAAAATTAAAATAAGACGCGGCTTCTGTTTCCCAGCTGTACATGCAGCGCGTGTGCTCAGGTGTACGTACACCTCAACAGGCTTTTGTTTCTGGCAGCTTATTGTTTAAAGAGAACTTTTAAAGACTCTTTTTTTGAAAACTATAAATGAAATAATTATAACTGTTGCTGAGGTCAAAAAAAAGGAGTTTCTTTCGTGTCGTTGCCGGAGCTGTCTGTACACCCGGAGAGTTCCGCTTAGCGCGGAAAGCTCGAGTTATTTGGGAATTTGTTTTCAGTTATTTCTTTTTGCTCTTTTGGACTTTCTAAAAAGTCTTTTAGAGGCAACGCAGGAGGCGAAAAGTTCAAAAGCCTCCCGTATTGGTAAAGTTGCTCCAAGCAGCTGTACAGACACCCCGAGCGCCGCAGCTGCAGATACTTCCTGCGTACATACACCCCAAGTGCAGCAGCAAACTTGCAAAATTCAAATCCAAACTTTTCTGCCATTTATGCCATTTTAATTATTTTAATTTGAACTTCACCATTTTAATTGTTTTAATTGGAATTTAAAAGTTCAAAAAGGAAAATTAAACAGCAGAAATGCGCTAATAGCAATAAAGTTGTTGTTACATTTTTAAATTCAAAAAAGGCATTAAAAGAATACCATTTATTTTTAAATAAATAAAACTAAAAGTCTTTTACTAACTTATTATCAGGGATGTATTTATTGTAATGAATAAGAAATTTGTACTGACAGTTATATTTTATTACATTATTTTTATTTATTTTATTTACATTTATTTATTTTCACCTGTTTATTCTTATTTATTTACTTTCGTTCATTTCCACTTGTTCATTTATTTATTTATTTATTTATTTCCAGTTATTCATTCATTTATTAACTTCCGTTTATTTACTTCCATCTACTGGTTTATTTATTTTAATTTATTTAATTAGATTCATCTATTTATTATATTATATGTATTTATTGTCATTTATTGATTATTTTCATTTATTTATTTATTTTCAATTATTTATTTATTTGGTGCGTTTTTATCTCGCGGTATCTTTGCTGCGTTTGCTGCAGATGTTTTCACTTATTGACTTTTAAATTTATTTTTTTAATTTTTAATTCAAAATTAAAAATAAAATAAATCCATTTATTTTAAAAGTACTTTTCTAAACAAATAAAGAGATAAAGTAGTACATATATATAAAATATATATAGCAATAATTATATATTTACATATACACATATAATTGTCTAAATGCCCATTATGTTGATTTGCATGCGATTACATTTAATATAAACAGGATTATTGTATTTATATGCAATAAAAGAATTAATTTAATTTCTATATATATATACGTATATATATATATATATATATATACGTATATATATATATATATATTTATATATATAAGTATTCATATATAGATATATATAAACATAAAAATAAATAAGAAAAAATATAAATGCCCACAAATGCACATATTCACGTAAGCCAAAAGGCGCGCTAATGGTGTTAATGGCATTTGTTTAAAAGTGTTTTATTTGGAACAGGAAAAGGCGAAGACAGAAAAAAGTCACCTGAAGAGGCGGAGAGAGGTTTGCGCGTCTTCAATTGAATCGTGGGTTTTATTTTGAATATTTTTTTGCAAAATAAATGCAGAAAGAAACTTTAAAGACAAAAGACGGCGTCCAGGAATGCGAAAAAGATATGCAGTGTCAATGACTTGCTGCGCAGGCACGTAGAGGTTCATCACCCGGAAATCCTGCTGCAGTCCGTGGCCCACGAAGCTGAAAACACCCCCCAAAAGCCCTCAAAACAATTAAATTCATTATTTTATTCATTTAATATTTTAATCTTTTCTTTTCCGCTTTTTCCCCGATCAAAACGTGCAGAAAACGGCGCCGAACTGCCGCCAGCTGCGCCGGCTCCCAGGTGTACGTACTCCTCAACTTTTGGCTGTCCATGCAGAATGCAACTTTTTTCGTCTTTCGGAACGTATTTCTTTTATTATTGATTAATTTGTCGTTTATAATTCATTTATTTGCTAATTTAATCCTTTTATTTTGTTTGTTTCCGCACATGCACTTGCAATCCACGAGAAATCGCATTTTCTGCAAAATGGATTTCCGCGTCGACAGCCACACGACCGAATCCGTCAAACTCAAATCCTCAGCGCGCAGTCCAGAGAATCTAGAAATAGAAACAAATAATAAATAAATAAATAAATAAATAAATAATAAATAGAAATAAATAAATAAATTGATTTAGTTGAGTAGGATTTATTCTAAATAAATCCTTTCTATCATCTCCAGCAAATAAAAATCACTCATGCTGCAGCTGCAAGGGTTTAGGGTTTAGGGTTTAGGGTATACCTAGTGAGGCAGTCCTTGGGGGGTTTCTTGAAGAGCACATAATGGTCGATGAAGGGAACCTCTTCTAGGGGCCCCTGGCCCCGCACCAGACTCAGCCTTAGCCATAAACCCTAAACCCTAAACCCTAAACCCTAAACCCTAACCCCTAACACGCATACTCTGCGTCGCAACCCCTATCTGCGGAGGACAGCACAGCCCTCACCCCTCCCCAAAACCCTAAACCCTAAACCAAAACCTAAAACCCTAAACCCTAGACCCTAAACCCTAAACCCTCGCGTGCCTCGCCAGCGCCAGCGACGACCCCTGCAGAATCTCTTTGCGTCCATCTTGGTCTATTTCTGCTGCTTCTGTCACTTCTGCAACAAACTCTGCGTCAACTCCAACGACAAAACCCTCGCTGGACAACTCCACTCCATCTACTTCTTCGGGGGCCCCCCTATCTCTGGGGGCCCCCGGGGGGCCCCCGGGGGCGCCTCCTGGGGCCCCTGGGGGGCCCCCGGGGGCCCCCGGGGGGCCCCCTGGGGCCCCTGCTGCGGCCTCGGGGGCCCCTGGGAGGCCCCCGGGGGCCCCCGCTGAGGCCCCCTGGGGGTCCCCGGGGGCCCCGTCTGGGGGTCCCCTGTCTTCTAGGGCTGCGGGGGCCCCTGGGGGCCCCCTGGTGGAATTGGTTTTATTATTTTGATTTAAATGCTTTTCAATTCGGATTCTGGCGACTTGCATTCGCAGCAACTCAGTTGGGGCTGCATGCAGAAGCAAAAGACTCGAAAACGATTAATAGAAATAAAACTAAAGTGCAGCAGCAGCAGCAGCAGCAGCAGAAGCAGCGGCAGCAGCAGCAGCAGCAGCAGCAGCAGCGCACAGAGGGGCGTGAAGGTGGCGGGCTCTCGGGGAGCAGCAGGATGCACTGAACAGTTGAAGTCCTTGAGGAAGCAAATCAAAGAAAAGGGACTTTCCGAAGGAGCAGCAACTGGCACCACGCGGTCCCCCTCCAGCAGCAGCGCGGGGGCCCCCCCGCTGCACAGCCCCTGCGCGCAAACCCTAAACCCTAAACCCTAAACCCTAAACCCTAAACCCTAAACCCCAAGCCCCTTGAGTGCTGAACCCTAGCCTGGGGCTGGGTCTAGGCACTGAACCCTGGACGCTGGACGCTAAAACCAGGCCCCACACGCAAACCCTAAACCCTAAACCCTAAACCCTAAACCCTAAACCCTAAACCCTAGGCCCCAGTCCCGAAGCTAAACCCTCGCCGGCCTCCCTCGATCTCAGCAGCGGGGCGAAGGCGCCGCGGGCGCCTTCAGTCTCCTGAGGCTGTGGCGCTAGGGTTTAGGGTTTAGGGTTTAGGGTTTGCAAACCCTGTTGAAAAGGCCGAAGTTTATTGCGTCGCCCCTTTTGGTGTCTCCGCGGGCATAACAAACCACTGCAGGGAATTTCCAAGAATAAGAAAAGTTGGAAACAGATCGACTTCGACAAAAAGACAACACGAAGTCGTTTATGCACAGCCACTGCTGCTGCTGCTGCTGCTGCTGCTGCTGCTGCTGCGGCTGCGGGGGGTCGTTGCGGTCCCGCTGCTGCTGAGGGTTCTCGCCGTGCTGCTGCTGGCGCCGCTGCTGCTTCTGCTTCAGCTGCTGCTGCTGCTGCTGCACTTC